ATGTGTTCAGTCTGTAAGAAGTTAAACTCAGTGTGTAAGATGTTTTCAGTCTGTAAGAAGTTAAACTCAGTGTGTAAGATGTTTTCAGTCTGTAAGAAGTTAAACTCAGTGTGTAAGATGTTTTCAGTCTGTAAGAAGTTAAACTCAGTGTGTAAGATGTGTTCAGACTGTAAGAAGATAAACTCAGCGTGTAAGATGTGTTCAGTCTGTAAGAAGTTAAATTCAGTGTGTAAGATGTGTTCAATCTGTAAGAAGTTAAACTCTGTGTGTAAGATGTGCTCAGTCTGTAAGAAGTTAAACTCAGTGTGTAAGATGTGCTCAGTCTGTAAGAAGTTAAACTCAGTGTGTAAGATGTGTTCAGTCTGTAAGAAGTTAAACTCAGCGTGTAAGATGTGTTCAGACTGTAAGAAGATAAACTCAGCGTGTAAGATGTGTTCAGTCTGTAAGATAAATTCTGTGTGTAAGATGTGTTCAGTCTGTAAGACGTTACCCTCAGTGTGTAAGATGTGTTCAGTCTGTAAGAAGATAAACTCTGTGTAAGATGTGTTCAGTCTGTAGGAAATTAAACTCATTGTGTAAGATGTGTTCAGTCTGTAAGAAGTTAAACTCAGCGTGTAAGATGAGTTCAGTCTGTAAGAAGTTAAACTCAGCGTGTAAGATGAGTTCAGTGTAAGAAGTTAAACTTGGTGTGTAAGATGTGTTCAATCAGTAAGACGTTACACTCAGTGTGTAAGATGTGTTCAGTCTGTAAGAAGATAAACTCAATGTGTAAGATGTTTTCAGTCTGTAAGAAGTTAAACTCAGTCTGTAAGATGTTTTCAGTCTGTAAGAAGTTAAACTCAGTGTGTAAGATGTGTTCAGACTGTAAGAAGATAAACTCAGCATGTAAGATGTATTCAGTCTGTAAAAAGATAAATTCAGTGTGTAAGATGTGTTCAGTCTGTAAGAAGTTAAACTCAGCATGTAAGATGTGTTCAGACTGTAAGAAGATAAACTCAGCGTTTAAGATGAGTTCAGTCTGTAAAAAGATAAATTCAGTGTGTAAGATGTGTTCAGACTGTAAGAAGATAAACTCAGCATGTAAGATGTTTTCAGTCTGTAAGAAGTTAAACTCAGTCTGTAAGATGTTTTCAGTCTGTAAGAAGTTAAACTCAGTGTGTAAGATGTGTTCAGACTGTAAGAAGATAAACTCAGCATGTAAGATGTATTCAGTCTGTAAAAAGATAAATTCAGTGTGTAAGATGTGTTCAGTCTGTAAGAAGTTAAACTCAGCGTGTAAGATGTTTTCAGTCTGTAAGAAGTTAAACTCAGTCTGTAAGATGTTTTCAGTCTGTAAGAAGTTAAAACTCAGTGTGTAAGATGTGTTCAGACTGTAAGAAGATAAACTCAGCATGTAAGATGTATTCAGTCTGTAAAAAGATAAATTCAGTGTGTAAGATGTGTTCAGTCTGTAAGAAGTTAAACTCAGCGTGTAAGATGTGTTCAGACTGTAAGAAGATAAACTCAGCGTTTAAGATGAGTTCAGTCTGTAAAAAGATAAATTCAGTGTGTACGATGTGTTCAGTCTGTAAGAAGTTCAATTCTGTGTGTAAGATGTGTTCAGACTGTAAGATAAATTCTGTGTGTAAGATGAGTTCAGTCTGTAAGAAGTTAAACTTGGTGTATAAGATGTGTTCAGTCAGTAAGACTTTACACTCAGTGTGTAAGACGTGTTCAGTCTGTAAGAAGATAATCTCTGTGTAAGACGTGTTCAGTCTGTAGAAGTTAAATTCAATGATCAACACTGTAATCACCTCAGAGTGAAACATATATATGGTTGAAGCTAATTTGTGCTGAAAAAATTGTGTCTGTGTGTTTAAGAATTCATGTAGCTCCACTTTTGGTCATCCTATCTGATGAACTAAAGAAACCTGCCGGGATTTCCGCTTTCCACAGCTCAACCTCTACCCTGCAGAACCAGGTGTTGGAGGGGGTGCTGAGGGGCTAGCTGACCTAGCTAAACAGATACACTTACTTTTTTTTATAATACATCCGCATTTCCAAAAATTTGGGACACTGTGCAAAGTGTAAATAAATCAAAATTCAATGATGTGCAAATCATTTCAAGCTTATGTTTATTGAAAACAGTACAAAGGCAAAATATCAAATGTTTGTGCAGAGAAATTGTGTTATGTTTTGAAAACAATAAGCCTATTTTGAATATGATATCAGCAACACATTCCAAAAAAGTTGGACGGGGCAAGTTTACCACTATACTGCATCACCTCTTCTTTTAACAACACTCTGTAAGCATTTGGGAACCAAAGAGACACTGCTGTAGTTTTGAAAGAGAAAGGATTCCTGTTCTTGCTCGATATAGAATTTCAGCTGCTCACCAGTGGGGCGTCTCCTTTGTCGTATTTTTGGTTTCTTAATACGCCAAATGTTTTCAGTCTTTGTTTTCTTTGCATGTTAGAGTTTTAACTTGCATTTGTGGATGTAGTGATGAACTGTTTTCACAGACAGTGTTTTTCATAAGTGTTTCTGAGCCCATGCAATGATTTCCTCTACTGAATTATGTCTGTTTCTAAAGCAGTGCCACCTGAGGGCCCAAAGATCTCAGCCAGCCAATATTGGTTTTCAGCCTTGTCCCTTGCATACAGAGATTTCTCCAGATTCTCTAAATCTTTTAATGTTATTATGTACCATAGATGATGAGATCCCCAAGTTCTTTGCAAATTTACATTGAGAAACATTATTCTTGAATTGTTGCACTATTTGATCATGCAGTCTTTTACAGAGTAGTGAACCCCTCTTCATATTTACTTCTGAAAGACTCCACCTCTCTGAGATACTCTTTTATACCCAGTCATGTTACTGATTTGTTGTCAATCAACATCAAGGTGTTTTTAGCATTACACAACTTTACCAGCTTTTTGTTGCCCCTGTCTCACGTTTTTTTTAAACGTGTCGCTGGCATTTAATTCAAATGAGCATATATTTTACAAAAAACAACAAAATGTGTCTTTGTACTGTTTTCAATTAAATATATGAGGTAAGTGATTTTCACATCATTGTATTGTGTTTTTATTTAGATTTTGTATTAAACTGCAGTGTATGTGTTATTCCACGTGCCTGTTCACCTCACTATCTACTTTAATTAACCATATAGTAGTGTGTATAGTTTGGTAAGAAGCAGATGCAGTGCTGAGCAAGACTAGAGGTCAATCTGCTCAGCTAATCTCCCTTCAAACTGTTCCTTTAAGAGCCTTCCTGGAAATGCAAGGGGCGGAGCTCCTGGGAAGGAACCACAGGAGGAGCATTTCCTGGTTAAAGGGAGAGAGGAGGAAGGAGTGAGACAAGATGGCGGTGTAAGAAAGAGGAAAGTTTGGTGTGTTTTGTGAGTACTGAAGGGATTAACAAACAAAAGCCACCAACTTTTCCTCTTATTCCTCTACTTATAAACTGGCAGACCGGTGGACCAAGCATGTTCAAAAAAGGATTAAAAAAGACTGTAAGAAAAGTGGATTAACGAATGAAATGAGCCTTTTTTTTTTAGCCAACTGTGTCTGAACACATCGGAATTAGACCTCCGCATTTAACCCATCCGTGCAGCGAAATACCACATACACACTAGTGAATGCACACACACTAGGAGGCAGTGAGCACACTTGCCCGGAGCGGTGGGCAGCCCTATCCACGGCGCCTGGCGAGCAGTTGGGGGTTAGGTGCCTTGCTCAAGGGCACTCAAGGGCACTTCAGTCATGTACTGTCAGCTGAGGGGATCGAACCAGCGACCTTCTGGTCACAAGGCCGGTTCCCTAACCTCCAGCCCATGACTCCCCCCTCAGCCGATGACTCTCAGGGATCTGAAAGAAGCTTGGGGATAGGCCTGCCATTGCCGGTGAGATCCAGCTGGTATATGTTTTTTGTTTGTGTTTTTTCTTCGCAATGCATTGCTAAGGACTTGAATTTTTGATTTTTTGCATTTTGGACTTTTTGGACTTTGGAGAAACTGGGAGAGGGGCATGGAATATTGTTAAAATGTGAGGTGTGAGGGTTCTGTTTGTGCATTATAAATTGTGTATGTTTTAGCAGATACATTTAAATATATAAAGCATTTCTGGCAGGTGGCAGGTTAAACAGGGTCTATTTTGGGTTTTTTGTGTGCTTGAATTTGTTTGTTTGTACTACTTTAGCTCTTAAGTGTAAGCAGTGTATCCTCAGACTTTAAATGTAACCCCTAAACTTATAAGTCAAGGTGATTGTTACAGAGTGGTGGCCTGTACGGGGAAATACATTGCAGGAGACATAGGGCTACATAGTATCTTTTAATTTGGGTAACAGCAAGCTATGGCTGACAGTATGGATTCCCAGACAGAGGAACGCCAGGCTGACACACCAAACTTCAACTCTAGGCCCTTTGTGACATTCAGGGAACAATCACCTTGACTTATTATAAGTTTTAACTCAAGCACACAAAAAACCCAAAATAGACCCTGTTTAACCTGCCACCCAGAAATGCTTTATATATTGAAATGTATCTGCCAAAACATACACAATTTATAATGCACAAATAGAACCCTCACACCATCACATTTGAACAATATTCCATGCCCCTCTCCTAATTTCTCCAAAGTCCAAAAAGTTCAAAATGCAAAAAATAGAAAAATGTTTTAATCAAAAATTCAAGTCCTTAGCAATGCATTGCAAAAACAAAACACAAACAAAAAACATAAACCAGCTGGATCTCACCGGCAATGACAGGCCTATCCCCAAGCTTCTTTCAGATCCCTGAGGGTTAATCCAAAAGTTGATGGCTTTTGTTTGTTGATCCCTTCAGTACTCACAAAACACACCAAACTTTCCTCTTTCTTACACTGCCATCTTGTCTCTCTCCTTCCTCCTCTCTCCCTTTAACCAGGAAATGCTCCTCCTGTGGTTCCTTCCCAGGAGCTCTGCCCCTTGCATTTTCCAGGAAGGCTCTTAAAGGAAAAGTGCTATGATGGTTCAGCAAACAATTTTATTCTGGTCCCCTTTTTACCTGACCTCATATAGCAAAACTCACCCATTTTAAATGTTAGCACACAGGAAGTTTAACCTTGCAAGGCATTTAAGTTTTAAACCTTTTCTTTGAATTAATGTGCTACATATATATTTTCTACAAAAGACCTTTCATGTGGCAGTATCACAGACCCCCCCCCCAAACTCGAGGTATTGAGGGTCTTAACACCCGAATGAATGGTGATGAGTTTGGAGACAGTCCACTGTTTATTAGCAACATTAGTCTAACTGCCATTTTAAACTAAAAAAAGCACACATCAGATACTAAATATTTCTTGGATTTTGACTACATCTTAGGTAAGTGATAAATAACATTAATTTGATTTTTTTACTAAACTATTCCTCTAAGTCCAGGGACAGCTGTTCTGGGGTCAGCAGAGGACTATTCACATTGCTTTCACAATGAATCTTAGAAAACCCTCCCAAAAAATACAAAGCTCCAGATCTCAGTGTCATGTTCAGAAGAACAACTCAAAGACAAACGCATCTAGAGTAAACATTAATCATTATGTTACATGTGTGTAATAATTACAGTCAGTCTGCGTATACAGATAGCAAGAATATAACTTACTGTAGTTTCTCCAGTTTGCAGTGTGGATCCTCCAGTAGATGAGAGAGCAGCTTCACTCCAGACTCTCCTGGGTGATTATAGGTCAGATCCAGTTCTCTCAGGTGGGAGGGGTTTGATTTCAGAGCTGAAGCCAGAGAAGAACAGCCTTTATCTGTAACCATACAACCAGATAATCTGAAGAAAGAGAAAAAAGAGAGAGAGATTGTTTTTACATTTAGCTATAAATCAGTTGCAGTACAGAACAAACACAACAAGCTTTAAATTCTGTAAATATACATCAACACACTGAAATCAAACAGGACAGACAGAAAACTGACTCAACATCTTCACACCTCTAAATACAACATGCTAAAAATTTATTCTGATTCAGAGCCCCAGGAGATAGAAAGACATCACTGGCTTCAACCAATACAGCCCTATTCCAGCAATGGGCGAATGAGTTAAACTAATTCTTTGTGTGTTTTGACAATGGTTCCTCTCCTGCTGCATTGTTTCTGTCTCATTGTTTGTAATGAATGCCTCTCACCCAACCCCCACAACTAGAATATTCAATGAAGTGAAAAAGGAATTGAAAAATCTCAACCAGAGCAAAGCAGCAGGACCTGCTGAAACTTTGTGCAGAGCAACTGTGTGAAATTCTTCAGCACATCTTTAATCTGAGGTGCAGCCTGAAGACAGTCCTAGTTGTGTGGAAAAGGGGCAACCAAAGGCACTTAATGATTATCGATCCATTGCACTGACATCCCACTTAATGAAGACACTCAAAAGGCTCATGTGAGCTCATCTGAGACCTCTGGTCAGTACAGCTCTTGACCTTCTGCACTATGCATATCAGGATGGAAATGGAGTGGATGATGTGGTTATTGACCTGCCGTACAGAGCATACTATCACCTGGACACATCAGGCAGCACCATGATTTTCTTTGATTTCTCTAGTGCATTCAACACCATACAGCCTGTGCTGTTAGGGGAGAAGCTGCGGCTGATGCATGTGGTCAATCTATCTGTCTATCTTTCTTCAATCAGATAGACATCTTCCTTTTCCTTCCAATCTAATGTCCTATAAACGTCCCATATTTTCCTTATTTTTCCCCGCTACCCCACCACTACCACCCTATTTTCATGTTTCTCAGTTCTATCTCAAAGCAGAAGCTGCCCAGAGCTCAAGCCCAGGTGATTGAGATGGAAGAGGAAGCTGTTGATCTATTAAATGACAGCATACACCGTGCAGTGAAAATATATTTACCCCTTTTCTGATTTGCTATGTTTTTGCATAGCACACAAAATTGTCCCAAATCACAACCAAATGCCCAAATCTTTCAGATGACTGTGGAGGAATTTTGGTTCAATCTTCTTTGAAGAATTGCTTTAATGCAGCCACACTCCAGGGCTTTTTGGCATAATCTGCTTGTTTCAGGTCATGCAGCAGCATCTCAACTGGGTTCAAGTCAGGACTTTAACTAGGTCACTCCAAACCATACTTTTGTTTTTTTTGAGCCATCCAAAGATGTACTTGCTCTTGTGCTTGGGACTGTTGTCTTGCTGCATGACCCAATTACATTTGAACTTCAGATCATGACTGATGACTTTATATCCTCCTGCAGGTTTTTATGATAAGAGCAGAATTCATGGTTCCATCAAAAATATGGCAAGACACACAGGCCCAGAAGCAGCAAAGCTCCCCCACACCATCACACTACCACCTACATGTTCATCACTGTTGGTATGATGTTTATATTGTGGAATGCTGGCTTAGTTTTACACCAGATATTATGGGATCCCTGTCTTACAAAATGTTCCACTTTTGACTTATTAATTCACAGAACACTACTGTAAAATAGGTCATCTCGGTATTTTTGGCAAATGTGAGACAACCCTGTATGCTCCTTTTGGTTCTTCTTGACAAATATGCAAATGAAAACTTTTTTCACAACACTGTATGTAATTAAATGTTTTTTGAACGGGGCCTGCTGGAGGCATGTATGTTCCTCTTTCTTAGCCAGTTTTTGCTTTGCAGCTCTCCCATTGATATTTTTCCCCAAGCGTCAATGATGGGGAAATCATTTATGCTATCCTTATTTGAGGCAAGCAAGGTCTGCAGTTTCTTAAATGTTTGTCTGGGTTCTTTTATGACTTCCTGGATGATTTGTCGAAGTGATCTTGGGAGGGATTTTGGCAGGTAGGCCACTTTCTGAGAAGACTGACTACTGTTTCAAGTTTTCTCCATTTGGAGATAATAGCTTTTACTCCCCAGTCCCAGAGCCTTAGAAATGGCTTTGTAATCCATTCCAGACTAATAATATTCTTTCTGATCTCTTCTGGAATTTCTCTTGATCACGGTGTAGTGTGCTGCTTATGGAGACCTTTTAGCCTACTTCACAACGTTAGAAGCATTCTATTTAAGTGATGATTAGATTCAATAGGGCAAGCAGTAATCAAGCTTGGGTGTGTCTAGTTTAAATGATCCTAAATATCAACCAAATATAGTTAAATTGATTGAGTAATTAAAGGGCAATCATTTTTCACACAGAGCCAATTAGTGTTGAATAATTTGTTTTCCCTCAATCAACTTTCACTTGAAGTTGATTTATCAGAGTTGTTTCAACAGAGTTTTATGTTCTCCTTTCTTATATTACCGTTTGTGTGAGTATCTGAAACCAGTGTGACAAATATGCAAAAATAGAGGAAATTAGAAAATTCTTTTTCACAACACTGTATGTAAGTAAATGTTTTGTGTTGATAGTATATTGTGGTGACTGCCATGGGTGTGTAGGCAAAGAGAAGCTGCCATGCAGAGAGCTGTGTAAAGGGCCTCGCTGGAGTCATGTGCCCCTGTTACATAAAATGTGTTTATATTGTTATTTGTTGGTTTATTATGCTTTAAGCATTTTTGTTGGGGTGATCACTGCCAGAGTGTTTTCAGGGGCTTTAGGTGACCTCCCCAATGTTTCTCTGCCTGCCTCAGTGAAGAACAAAGTGGAGCAGAGTCTATGGAATCACCTGACTCTTTCTCTGCTTGTCGCCACACTGGTAATCAGAAGTGAGATGGACTTGATGCTGAAATGGATGAGCTCCAGCAGAAGGTCAAAAACTCTGTGGCAGACAGTGAAAGTGAAAGTAAAACAGATAAAAAACAAAGTGGCATAGCAGAGCAAAGTGTATTCGGCTACCACACTTGAAGAAGGACAGTGGGAAACATATTCAGCACAGCTGCAAATTTATGCTCAGCATTGCGTTTAGACATCAGAAGACACCACAATGCAGGTGTGTTTGGCCCTGGTGGAACAAGCGCTTCAGGTGCTAGTGGATTTGCTGGCAGAACTGCATGGTGACCTCACAATGCTGACCATGACTCTCCAGCAGCAGTTTGGCCAGGTACTAGCAGTGCTGTCCATCAGGCAACTGACAGTGCGAAGATGGAAGGGGGAACGGATAAGCATACTGGCAGTAGAGATGAGCACTGTGGTGCAGCTTATCCCACATTTGATAGAGAAAGCAAGAAGAGTAGATAAGAAAGACGATTTCCTGAACACACTGCTGCTGGAAGTGCTAAAAATGACACGAATGGTTTGCAAAACTGTCAAGCCTCCAAGCCACCTTCACGAAATCCAAAATTGCGAAGCTCATCCTCAGTGATTGCTTCAAAGTGAGTAGCACAAACACAGAGCTACACAGCAGAAGAAGCTGAGGGGGGGTGCACATAGTGTGGATAGTGTGTTGGTGATGCGGAAAAAAGGGACAACACACTCGCCATTGCCACGAGCCGGAGCCACTGGGAAATGAGAAGGGGCAGCTCGGTAAGAGTAACCCTCTGCATCACCACCACTGCCGGAGAGCAACTGCTACCACAGGCTTTTAAATAAAGTGCAGCATTAATGGTGAACAGCTCACTGCATTCATTGACCCAGGCTTAATAATCTCTCTGCTGCAGACAGGCATACTTGCCAATGCTGGAAGGCTGGGAAGCTACTACCATCCAGATTGGCACCATTACCAGTGGCCGAGGCGACATGAGATGATGAAAGCTGCTTCCTGTCGCACTGAGAGGTCTGAGCCATATGCACAAATTCTGGCTCACACCAATACGGGAAGCCTGCATCTTCAGATTAGATTTTCTGATCATGACAAGAGTTGTGACTAACATTAATTGAGTCTGAAATGCAGATCCCTGAGCGTCATAGGTGGCGCACACAAGCAGCTCAAATCACCAACATTGATGGTGCAGTGGACAAAGGCACAGAGGGCAGTAACGGTGAGTAAAGTGGAGGTTTGCGCTAGAGTAGATGCTGAGTGTGAGTTATTGCAGTAAGTTATTGCAGCAATTGTGGAAGATTTTAGGCTGTCATGACATTTTCATGGCTACAGGTTTGGTGCAGATTTAGTACCAGGATTAGGTTTGTCACCAAGATGAGGTTTTGGAGTGAAATTAGGGTTAGGGTTAAGGTCAGCATTTATTTTTGAGGAAAATAAGGTGAATCCCTTCTGTTTTTGTCCCTCTTGAGGTGAGAATATTATCATTTTCTTCCTCTTCTGTCCCCAGCCCCCTTCACCTTTTTCCCCTCCCTGTTTGCTCCTTCCCCTGGCCTTTGGTATTTCTATGTTTTCACTTGACAGTTGACAGCCTGATGAGCAGTCTGTGCCTGTGCATGATTTTGGCACAAGTGAATAAAACTCAAAATCTGAAGATCCAGTCTCCTCTCTGCCTGCAGAATTTCTAACATGATATGATCACCACTACACTGTAATAATAGCACATTGATCATGCTGTTGAGACTTGCAGGACTTGTGATAAACAAAACTGCCTTTTTTCAATCTTACTTAAACTTACTATTGAATCATTTCAACAGGGAGTTCATCATGTATTTTGGTTTTGAGCATGATAAAAAACAAAAAATAACTTTAACTGCATTTTAACATTCTGATTGGCCACCAGCTGGTAAAAATCAACATTTGCATGATGCTCTATCATACTGGGTTTGCAAATCTCCCTGCAAATCTTATAAGTATAGTTCCTTATATTATGTAATATTCTTTAAAAGACATAAAAAATGAAATAAATTACAATGTGTGTTTCAATAGTATGTGGATAATTTCCTCTGAAAACCCACTTCTTTGATTGTTTTAAAAGCAAAGTTATCAATTATATCTTTAAATATTTTTCTTCCCATTTTAATAGTGACAGTTATTATTACCAATCCATGGAGAAATTCCTGCTTCTTTTAAACTGACATTTGAAAGGTTTAAAAAGTTTCAGTACAAAAACAATTCATTACACGACTACATGGAGTTGTTTCATTAAGTCTTAATCATTAGAAACTTAGCATATGTGAAATACTAGCCATTACATTCATGTTTTTGAATGTAAATGCAATGTGCTTATAAACGGACGCTAGAAAACCGACAGACAAAATCTAACAACTCAATTTTCATTTTTACTGGCATTTAGTCTAGTTTCTTACAATATACTCAAAGATTTCCGAATTGAATGAGAGAGAACATATACCATATTTAGACAATTAACTACAAGTTCATTATAGGAATGGGAATAACGAGACAAACAATAGATTTCTAAAACCAGTAAAATATACTGATTTGACAGTTTATTGATTCTTTAACTTTTTCCATTCATGAATATATTGACAGAGAGCTCACCTGAGTGTCTCCAGTTTACAGTGTGAGTTCTTTAGTCCATTAGAGAGCAGCTTCACACCAGAATCCTGAAGGTCATTGTTACTGAGGTCCAGCTCTTTCAGAGAAGATTTTGCTGATTGCAGAGCTGATGAAAGTTTTTCACAGATGTTTGTGGTGAGACTACAGCTGGCTAGTCTGTGAAAGTCAGAGTAAATACAATACATGGTGTAATCAGGGGAGTTGTAATAGTTAATACCTTACTGTCCATGTTCCACTGTGTCTTGGAACAAACAGTAAAATAACTTTGACTCATGCTGCTGGTCTAGAGCTATCTGTCTGTTTCTGTAGTACTGTTTTACAGAATAAACCAATGCAGAATGTTGTGATTCAGTCTCATTCAACACAGAACAGAGTGGGGCTGTGAGGGAGTCAGGATTAGACATATGCAGCTGAACAATGGAGCAACTGAGCATCTGCTCCCCCAATTTATTTTCAGAAAGGGGGTTACTGGAGCTCACTGTCAACTTTATTAGAAACACCTGCATCATCAGGGAACATCAGGGAAGATTTCACAAAGAATTTCTCAGCTAGCCAAACAACTTACCCAAAATAAACAGTGTTCAATAAATGAATAAATAAATAAATAAATAAATAAATAAAAATAATAGTAATAATAAAAAGACTGCGAGCGACAGAGAGCACATCACTGCGAGTAACAGAGAGCAGCATAGCTTAGAGATATAGATCGAGCAGCGTTCAACCATCACCTAAAGAATTAGCAGTTAGCAGGCCACTAACCTCCTCACATCTCACACCTCTCCCTCCTATTTTGTTTTCTCCCTCTCTCTTTCTCTTTCTCTCACACAGATATTTCCTCAGCCCACTCAACATGGCGTCCACCCAAGAACGAGCTATCCAGGCACTGACCTCATAGTTGGCCTGGCTGGACCAGCAGATCACCGCCCTCCTGAAGAAGCAGGATGGGCTCCTTCAGCAGAAGTCGCAGCTTGAAGCCGCCCAGGAAGTTTCCCCCTCTGTGGTTGCGCCAGCCTTGTCTTTTCGTACACCAGGAGATGCCATTCTCACACCAGCACCACATGGTCCCTGGGAATGCCAGCGCCGCAGAGGGCCTTGCAGACCCTCACCACCACCCTAGCCGATCTTCACCTCCTGCAACCATTTTGCCGCCCTCAGTTCACCGCCTACACCTTCACCTATGCAGTCCTCCTCACAGGACTCAGTTTATGTTATCGGTAGTTCTATTGTCCGCCACGTAAAAGTAAAGGTTATAAACACCCATGCCACTGTCTCTTGTTTTCCAGGTGCTCGTGTTTTAGACATAGCCAACCGTCTCCCCTGGGCTTTCAGCAGACGCAACGCCTTCTCTGACCGACGTAGTGAAGTCCTGAAGAATCACTACCAGATGCTACTGGACACCAGGAAGAAGACAGATGCCAGGACCTCTTCCCACTTACAGGAGGGGATCCGAGCAGTTCACGCTGCAGTCCTGGCTCCGCGGCTGGTGCACCCTCAATGGCTCGGGCTACGTGGACAACTGGCCCTCGTTTTGGGAACAGCCGGTGCTCTACTGGAGAGAGGGGCTCCACCCTAGTCATTTAGGATCTGTTGTTCTGTCACGGAACATCGAGAGGGCCATTTACTGACTACAAAGCAAAGGCCATGTAAGTAGTGCCAAAAATAGAAACGCTAGAGCTAATAATGCTTGTGTTACTGCTGAAAATGAGGCGATACTTTCACAATCCTCAAGATTCACTAAGTAAGGCATTTATGTCCATCACAGACTCCGTAGGTTTCACCCAAATTATAAAGGGCCCACACACTACCACAACCACACTCTAGACTTAATACTGACCTTTGGTGTAAACATAGATAACTTAGCCATTCTCCCCCAGAGCACAGCAGTCTCAGATCATTACTTAATCTCAAAAGAAATTCACTTTAGTGATAATGTGCACTCATCACCATGTTATTATGTTAATAACTTCGTCCACAGCTGGTAGCTTTATCAGAAACCTTCTTCAACTAGCTGTCCATCTAATTCTACCAAGTTAGATATTATGACCAAGTTCTTAGAGGATACTTTTTGATTGACTCTACATAGTGTGGCTCCATTAAAAAGGAAAATAGTAAGTCAGAAAAAACTCGCCCCTTGGTATAATGATTACACTCGGGCTTTAAAAACAGACCGCAAGACAACTTGAGCGAAAATGGCGCCTGACTAAACTAGAAGTGTTCCAGTCCGCCTGGAAGGAGAGCCTTATAGACTCTAGAAGAGCACCTTCCACAGCACGCTCAGCCTATCGCTCCTCTCATAGAAAACAATAAGAATAATCTTAGATTCTAGATTATTTAGCACAATTTCTAAAATAACGGAGAACAAAACAGTTAGTGAACCCCAGAAACCATTAGCCTATAGCGGCAATGATTTTATGAATTTCTTTAGTGATAAAATTGAAAAAGTTTGGCAGAAAATTCAGAATACACAATTAAGCTCTACAAACCTGCTGCCTTCTAATGCCAGTCTAGATCCTGAGAATATTATAATCACTGCAGAGAGGCTGGAATTATTTACCTTACTTCAAGAAAATGAACTAGTTAAAATTGTTTCTTCCACAAAATCTACTTGTATGTTAGATCCAATGCCTACAGGTTTACTCAAGAAAATTTTGTCAGAAATAACCAAGCCTATTCTGTCAATAATAAACTCCTCTCTTAGCCTTGGATACATCCCAAAAACTCTTAAACTAGCAGTAATTAGACCACTGATTAAAAAAGCTAACCTCGATACCTGCAAACTATCAAATTATAGACCTATCTCGAATCTCCCCTTTATACCTGAGATCCTGGAAAAAGCAGTAGCAAAACAATTAAGCTCCTACTTGTATAGAAATCATTTACATGAAGAATTTCAGTTCAGCTATGCCAATGACACTCAGTTATATATATCAAGTGAACCAGACAATAAAATTAAACTTAACAAGATTGAGGACTGTATAAAAAACATAAAAGACTAGATGTCGAGTAACTTTCTCCTACTTAACTCAGATGAAACAGAGGTTCTGCTACTCTGTTACCAAAAGCAGCTAGAAACAAACTGTCAAATTTTACACTTAAACTTAACAATTTCTCAGTTGCATCAAACTCATCTGTAAAAAATCTTGGTGTTGTGATGACCCTGATCTGTCCTTCGACGCACACATAACTAATATTACTAGAGCAGCCTTCCTGCATCTCCGCAATATTGCTAATTTGAGAAATGCATTATCTCTACAGGATGCAGAAAAGCTAGTTCAGGCATTATTACCTCACGGCTAGATTACTGTAATGCCCTGCTGTCTGGGTGTTCCAGCAAAAGCCGTAACAAGCTTCAGCTAGTCCAGAATGCTGCAGCCAGAGTCCTTACAAGAACCAGAAAGTTTGACCATATCAGCCCAGTTTTATCAGCCTTACACTGGTTGCCAGTTAAATTTCGCATTGATTATAAAATTCTCTTACTGACTTACAAAGCTCTACATGGACTCGCACCTCAGTACCTGAGTGAACTTCTCTCCCACAATAAACCATCATGCCTACTTAGATGACAAGGTGCTGGCTTACAATCAGTACCTAGAATTAATAAAGTTACATCAGGGGGGAGAGCCTTCTCATACAAAGCCCCCCAGCTTTGGGATAATCTTCCTGTTAATGTTCGGGACCCAGCCTTAGTTTTTAAGTCTATGCTTAAAACATACTTGTATAGTCAAGCCTTTGGTAATTAGTTTTCCCTGTCAGATCCAGACCTGCCAGAGCCTCTGCTACTCTGTTAATACTGTAATCTGTGATCAGTCACTCGTTACAGAACTGACTGTGTGTTTTTTCCTTTCTTTGCTGAGTTGAACAGCTGCCCATACTGTGTGTCTGATGCTGTTGCCTCTTCTGCCTTGATCGGGTGCCACTGCTCACCAGCCTTCTGGACTGGCTTGACCACCATTGAGCTTCATGCTGTACTACGCCGTGCAAACCTCACCCTCACAACCTGACCCTACCGATGCTGCTGCTGCTGCTGCTGCATAATCATAAACTAATCAAATTAACCATTGCCCCACCTGTTTTTCCCACTTTGTACTATAATACTTCTACTAACAAATTTTGCTATCCGGTGTCGACCAGAGGAGGATGGGTTCCCCTTCTGAGTCTTAGTTCCTCTCAAGGTTTCATCCTGTTGCTCTTAGGGAGGTTTTCCTTGCCACTATCATTAGAGCCTTATAAACTAGTAGCAGAACTTTAAAATCTATCCCAAAAGATACGGGTAGCCATGCAGTTCAATAGTTTCAACATAAGAGTGATATGTTTTGTTTTTGTTAGGATGCTGCTGCATTTTGTACAAGTTGTAGAGGATGGATTGTTTTCTTAGGAAGCCCAGTAAGAAGTAAATAAATTAAAAGAAAATTAAAGAAATAAATTTGATATACAACAAATGCATGAGCAAGTTACTTTGCATTGCTCTGAGAAAAGGACGAACTTTAGCAATATGTCTCATAATCAGTTTTAGTATCAACAATCAGTATTTTAGTATTTCAAATTTGGTTGAACCGCCTATGGAATAAAGAGAAAATAATGTTAAGCATGGCTGTAATTTGTATAGTAAAAGATGTATGTTTCCTTTGTCATGTTTGTTTATGCTTCCATCTGGCCTTGCAGAAACTACAGCCAATGGGGCCGCCCAGGACACCCAATTCCTAGAACTCCTTGCTGCCTCCATCCAGCCTCGCAGAAACTACAGCCAATGGGGCCGCCCAGGACACCCAATTCCTAGAACTCCTTGCTGCATCACATGACTATGGACTCTCACCAACCCACCTATTAGCGCTGCTCATCTCCAGACTACTGATTACTCTCACACCTGTTTCTTATTTACTTTGTTGGTTAGTTTAGTATTTAAGCCTGGGCTTTAGGATAGGTTATTTGCGAAGTATTGTCTCCTTGTTGAGTATACCGAGCTCTATTTCTGATGTCTGGTTTCTCTTTTTTTTGTTTAAGACCTGTATCTCATTTATGACCTTGATTTTTGCCTTGCCCTTTTGTTTATTTTTGGATCTCTGTTTTTTAATTTTGTGCATCTGTTTTTCGACCGTGCTTCTGGATCAACTCTTTGATATTAAACATTATAACTCAAGCCTCGTCTGGGAGCATCTGGTTCCGTGTGTCACTGTTTCAATGTTCATTTGTGTTCAATGTAGCAGCTTGTTAGTCCTCTGTGAGTGGTTTGGGCATGTGTATAGATGAGATTGTTAGTTAAGGGGGGTCACTGCCATCATTTATATTTATTAGTATGATTAGTATGAAATGTGTGTGGCAGACTAGAGTTACTGGCAAAAAGTTATGTGTAAATTGTGTAGTACTGAATTGTGAAGTGAGACATTTTTCATAATTTTTGTGTTCAATATATTCATTATATACACTAGAGCACATTAGCATCAGCAGTTCTCCCACTCAATCAAAAAATGTGTTTTGTTCTATGTTATTTATTGATAGCCTAACTTTGGCTATTTGAAAGCGCTACTAGCGACTTCATTTTAATCCAAAAGAGCTAATGGATATGCTGACATTAGTACGAACATGAAGTTGTCTTTCTATTCACCAGTTTCCCTTATTAATTTTCTGGTTACACCATAAAAGATGCAGCAGTTACATTCTGGCAAATGTGAAGCTGAAGAGAGGCTGCTCCTTTCCTGGAAGGGGACATGGCTTCATCTCCTTCAGTGGACACGCCCCCAGCATTTCAGAGCAGAGCATACTGTTCATTTTTTCAGCCTTTTGAAACCTAATTTTATATGCATAGTGACTTTTTTATAAACATTTACATTTGACTTTCTGGTTAATACAACATTTTTCTGTGGCGTTACAAACTCAGAAAACATATTTATTGCTGCTTTACACAGACATTAATAACTATTCATTAACAGAAAATAATAAAAACCTAAAATGAATTCTTTGTACTTGTTAGTGACACTGTCAAAGTATTTAACATGTGGAATGTAATTGGTTTTGAATTGTAATTGGTGTTGAATGTTTTCTTGGTTTGAAATATTTTAGAAAGAAAAGAGTATGTAAAATGCAGATTGAACAGTTAAGTAATCAGTTCAAGCTAATTCTACTGCTAATTTGTATAATTTGGAGAACATGTAAATGAGCCATGTTTTATATCATACATAATTGTTGATTTTATAGAAATCCATCCATGGAAAACTGCACCGGCATTTATCATGATCTTTTACTCACTGTTCAGGGTGGCAAAAAAGTAAACACAGAAACTATTTTTATCACTTAAAAATGTTCATAAAACTGCACAAAACTGAGTAAATGTAAATAGTTACTACTCATGACTGCTGATACTGTGTAATTACAGTGTTAATAAGTTATTATTTAACCTTGCCTTTTGAACATTTAATAATAATAACAATAATAATAACAATAATAATAATAATAATAATAATAATAATACATGACATTTATATGGCAATTTTCTAGGACCCAAAGATGCTTACAGATACGGTAGTTTATGTGACCAGGTGTAATTGAGGAGACAAGCGGTCCAAGTAAAGAACCTTGCAGGACCCCTTGAGTGACAGTGGAAGTAGGAGAATGATGCCCAGAAACAAATTGTTTATGATCTGTTAGATAGGAGGTAAACCAGTCAAGAGCAGAGCCTTACAATACCCAGTTCACTTAATCTAGAGAGGAGAATGAAATTAATAACTATGTCAAAGGCAGCGCTTAAATCAAGTAGCATGAGAATGCTAATAGCCCCTGCATCAGCTGTCACCAGCAGATCATTAACAACCTTAACCAGAGCTGTGTCAGTGCTATGATGTGGCCTAAAACCAGACTGGAAGGGATCTAGAAGATTATTTGTTTCCAAATTATCTTTGAGCTGTATTGCAACAACATGCTCATGGACTTTTGATAAGAATGGAAGATTTGAGATGGGACGGAAGTTATAAAGTTAGATTGGTCAAGGGCAGGTTTTTTTGAGGACTGGAGTAACTGCAGAAATTTTGTACAACAAGGCAACGTGGCCAGTAGATAATGACCAGTTAATGACAGAAGTGAGATGGGGGACCAGCACAGACATACAGGCTTTGACTAGTGGTGTGGGGAGGAGGTCAAGGGAGCAGGTTGTACTTTTATAATTGGTAATGAATTTACTAACAAGAGACTCAGGGAAGCAGGGTGAATCTAGAGGGTGGGTGTTCAAAGGACAGCGAAAAAGGTTTTAGTGGAAAAGACCATAAGAGAGTTGTTGATTTTAGATATTTTACTTTCAGAGAAATATAAAAATGAGTTACAGAGTTCAGAGGAAGATGCTACAATGCTTCCTGGGGGGTTTGAAAAGCTCAGAGACGGTTGAAAATACACTATATTTCCAAAAGTATTCACTCATCCATCCATATCATTGAATTCAGGTGTTCCAATCACTTCCATGGCCACAGGTGTATAAAACCATGCACCTAGACATGCAGACTTCTTCTACAAACATTTGTGAGCATGGGTCACTCTGAAGAGCTCAGTGAATTCCAGCCTGGTGCCGTGATAAGATGCCACCTGTGCAACAAGTCTAGTCGTGAAATTTCCTCACTACTAAATATTCCTCAGTAAACTGTCAGTGGTATTATAACAAAGTGGAAGCGATTGGGAACGACAGCAACTCAGCCACGAAGTGGTAGGCCATGTAAAATGACAGAGTGGCGTCAGCGGATGCTGAGGTGCATAGTGCTTTCTGCAGAGTCAATCGCTACAGACCTCCAAACTTCATGTGGCCTTCAGATTAGATCAAGAACAGCGTAGAGAGCTTTATGGAATGGGTTTCCATGGCCGAGCAGCTGCATCCAAGCCTTACATCACCAAGCGCAATGCAAAGCGTCGAATGCAGTGGTGTAAAGCACCGCCACTGGACTCTAGAGCAGTGGAGACATGTTCTCTGGAGTGACCAATTAGAGCAGAAACTGTGAGCCAGGCCTTCTCGTCCATTATCAGTGTCTTATATCACGAATGCGCTTCTGGAAGAAGGTCAAAATTTTTCATAAGCACACTCCTAAACCTTGTGGAAAGCCTTCCCAGAAGAGTTGAAGCTGTTATAGCTGCAAAGGTAGGGCCAACATCATATTAAACCCTATGGATTAAAAATGAGATCTCACTCAAGTTCATATGCGTGTGAAGGCAGACGAGCGAGTACTTTTGGCAATATAGTGTAGACGGTGGGAGTTCAAATTTGGCCTGTTAAAAACAGTAGAAAGATAGCTAGTAACTGTAACTGTAAAGCAATGCTTCTGCAGCACTTCATAACAACTAAAACTATAATAACTCAAGCTTCTTTTAATTGTTTACTTGCTACGTGGTCAGCCCTAATCAATCATCAATAACCAAATATTAATCTGTTGTATTAATGTAGATATAACACTCACTGAGCTTTCCTGCAGACAGTCAGAGCTGGGATCAGTCTCCTATAACCCTCCTCTGATGTGTTGTATTTCTTCAGGTCCAGCTCATCCAGAACCTCCTCTGACATCAGAAGCATGCAGGCTAGTGCTGAACACTGTCCAGGAGAGAGTTTCACCTCTGAGTGTCTCTCTGAGTTTAGATACTCCTGAATCTCCCTGGAGAGAGACTGGTCATTCATTTCAGACAGACAGAGGAACAGATTGATGGATCTCTCAGTGGAGATGAGATATTGTTTATTTTCTCCTTTAATTAAACTCTTTATGTGCTCTCTGGTTCCCTCTGAGCTGCTCTGTGTTGGTTTCAGTAGACCCTGTAGGAATTTCTGATTGGACTCCACTGAGATGCCCAGCAGGAAACGGAGGAAAAGATCCAGGTGTCCATTCAGACTCTGTACAGCTTTATCCACAGCTCCCTTTAGAACTTCATTCAGAGGAACATTCTTAAACCGCTTTCTGACACATGGGAGAGAAAACTTCAGTAGAACATCCCTAAACCTCTCTTTGTTTAGTGGTTTAAATATCTGCAGGTCCACCACATTGTTGTTCTCGTAACAGTGAAACACATAAACAGCAGCCAGGAACTCCTGAAAGCTCAGATGAACAAAGCTGTAGACCTTCCTCTGGTAAAGCACACATTCCTCCCTAAAGATCTCAGTGAAAATCCCAGAATACACTGAGGCCTCAGTGACATCAATGCTGCTCTCTCTCAGGTCCTCTTCATAGAACATTACATTGCCCTTCATCAGCTGTTTGAAAGCCAATTCAGCCAGTTTCAGAAGAATGGTTCTGTTGAACTCCAGCAGGTTCTTTGTGGTTCTCTTCTTTTTCTCCTCATACTTCTCATTCCTCATGTTGGTCTGAGTGATCAGGAAGTGTGAGTACATTTCAGTCAAAGTTTTAGGGATTTCTGTATTACGCTGTTTCAGGATTTGCTGAAGAACAGTGGCCGAGATCCAGCAGAAGACTGGAATGTGGCACATGATGTGGAGGCTCCTCGCTGTCTTAATGTGGGAAATGATTCTCTTGGCTTGGTCTTCATCACTGATCCTCTTTTTGAAGTACTCCTCCTTCTGTGGGTCACTGAATCCCTGAATTTCTGTCACACGGTTGATGTATTTAGGAGGGATCTGATTGGCTGCTGCTGGTCGAGAGGTTATCCAGATCAGAGCAGAGGGAAGCAGCTCTCCTTTGATGAGGTTTGTCATCAACACTCCCACTGATGATGTCATGGTGATGTCAGACACTTTCTCACACTGTTCAAAGTTCAGTGGAATTCTGCTTTCATCCAGACCATCAAATATAAACACAGCTTTGATCTGATCATAAATCTTTGGTTCCAGATCTTTGAGCTCAGGATGGAAGTCACACAGAAGTCCATGAAGACTGTACTGATCATCTTTAATCAAGTTCAGTTCTCGGAACGGAAACACAAACATGATCTCCACATCCTGATTGGCTTTTCCTTCAGCCCAGTCCAGAATGAACTTCTGCACAGAGACAGTTTTTCCAATTCCAGCGATGCCTTTAGTCAGAACACTTCTGAGCTCTGGCTCTTTTGGTCTGTTATCTCCTTTTCTTTCTTTGTGTCTGAGACTGTCAGCCTTCACAGCTCTAATGTTCTCTTCTCGTGTTTCTCCTTCAGGACCTTGTAGAGGTTTAAAGATGTCTAAGCAGTTGATTGGAGAGTCTTGTAAGCATCTCCTAGGTGTTTTCTCCATCTGTAGAACCTCATGTTCTTCATTCACTCCTTCACTCTCTCCCTCTATGATATAGAGCTGTGTGTAAATCCTGTTCAGGAGGGTTTTATTCTTTTCTGTTTTTATTCCCTCAAATAAGCTCTCATACTTGTTCTTCATGCTAGTTTTGTGTCTCTGTAAGACTCTGTGAAGGACGTCATCATTCGCTGGTTGGTAAATATCTTCCAGAGTGTTTATCTGCAGTGCTGTTTGTGTGGAGTGCTGCCTAATCAGGGCCAAACACAGTAACATCATTAATAACACAAATAGCCATAATAATCTGCAGATAATTTATTTAATTAGATTTGAGCTATTTAATTAAAAAAAAGAAACTTTGGTTTACCTTAAATTCCCAAGATAACTTAACGTTACATGCTGTGCTTTTGATTTCTCCAAAACTAACAATTATAAATATTCCCATGCAATAAGTAAGTAATATAATGTAAATAACATTAATTGAGCTTAGCTTAGCAAGCAGGCTAAAGTTAGCCAATGAGACTGTGCAGGCATCTTAATGACAAAAATCTCAGTGTGCAGTGAAATTAACCAACCTGTTTGTAGAATTCATTATTATTTAGCAATATTATCCAGTTAATGCATTAATAAAAAAATACATAAAATTACAGTGAGAGCTCCCACTTCTGGATGTTTACAGACATAAACTGTCAACTTCCTTTCACTTTCATTAAATCCTAATAATCAGTACCAGATCTATTTCTATTTGGTCTTTCTTATAGACTTGATAGATCAAACAGCATTTATTGCTAGTTTAAAGAACCATTGACACTATTTTTACACATTTCTCTAGATGTATGTTACTTATTCCTTGCTTCGATATGAACTGTAAAGCAATCAGTGCAATAAGAGAACTGAACGCTGCACAAAATTGACATTGCACACTGCCATCCAGGCACCAACAACACAGGAATAGAGTGTCTACCCACACCTTTCCAAAATATACTCAAGGGATATTAAAAGATGGTTACATTCATCTGCACTTTATATTTGTTGTTAACATCACTATACTACTGATACTACTGTTCACATATGTGCAATACCATAGCTTCTACATTCTTTTTATAAATTTATTTTAAATTATTTTATAGTTTTATTTCTATTTTTATTTTTTATAATTTTAAATTATATAGTCTTTCTTTTAATGTCTTGCATTTTATATTTTACATTAACCTATATTTTTGCTTTATTCCTAATCTTTCATTGTATCCTGTGCAATGACAATGAAGAATCTTGAATCTAGAATCTTCAGTCAAACATCAGTTCTTGTGGTATAAATGATCTCCAAATCAATTACAATTAAATATTTTGAAAATAAATATCTAGCATGTATTCACTATATTTAAAAAAAACAATTCTGTGTGATTATACATGCATGTGTTTCATGACACCACATACACACGGCACCACTGGTTAAACAGAGCAGGTCATCCACCCTCTCCTGCCTGTGATACCCTGGTGTCCTGTGAGAGCCTAGACAGCCCCAACATACTCCTTTAGGACCCTGTTAAATATTGGCAAGACTCAAACTCAGACAGTCGTTTATCCAGTGCCCAGTGTTGACTCTCTGAAGAGTCTCACTCACTGTTGGTCACATCCACCCAGTTGGACACTGGAGAAACTGATCTTTGGGTTTCAGTCCTGCTATTATTAAATATGAAAAACTCTCTTACAAACTGATCTACAGCCCAGAGATCAGGAACATGTTTACAATGATTCACTGTCAAAACTGCCGTTTTTTTGTTTTTTTTTTAATTTTACCCGATTTTCTCCCTAATTTAGTCGTCTCCAATTCCACCCGCTAGTTAGGACTCCCCCAATCACACGATGCTATCAACGCTAGGAGGGTGAAGGCTAACACAGGCTTCCTCCGAGACCTGTGAAGCCACCACATCTTTTCGAGCTGCCACTCACGCAACGTCACTGGACAGCCGAACGCGCTCGGAGGAAAGCGCCAACCGCCAGATCTGTTACGTCAGCTAACAGACGCCTGCGCTGACTAGCATCGCGCTGAGTGATGGGGGGAGAAGGAGGGGCCATCCCACCCACCCAGAGAGAGCGAGGCCAATTGTGCTCTCTCGGACTCCCGGCTACGGATGGCTGTAGCATCACCAGGGATCGAACTCGCGATCTCCTGATGATAGGGCCAACGCTTAGACGGTTGCGCCACTCGGGAGCCCCTCAAAACTGCTGTTTAATGGGAGCAGTTATTTACCCTGAGTCACAGGATCCTCTCCCTCCACTGGACTGTGCTGGGAACATCATTGCCTGGTCACTCTTCACTGACACAAAGCTGGATTCTCCTCCTCCACTGCTGAATTTAGGAGGGTCCCCCATGGACCGGTCACTCTTCATAGACACACAGCTGGGTTCTCCTCCTCCTGTGCTGAATTTAGGAGGGTCGCCCATGGAGCCCTGAGTCACTCTTCATAGACACACAGCTGGGTTCTCTTCCTCCTGTGCTGAATTTAGGAGGGTCCCCCATGGACCGGTCACTCTTCATAGACACACAGCTGGGTTCTCTTCCTCCTGTGCTGAATTTAGGAGGGTCCCCCATGGACCCGTCACTCTTCATAGACACACAGCTGGGTTCTCCTCCTCCTGTGCTGAATTTAGGAGGGTCCCCCATGGACCCGTCACTCTTCATAGACACACAGCTGGGTTCTCTTCCTCCTGTGCTGAATTTAGGAGGGTCCCCCATGGACCCGTCACTCTTCATAGACACACAGCTGGGTTCTCCTCCTCCTGTGCTGAATTTAGGAGGGTCCCCCATGGACCCGTCACTCTTCATAGACACACAGCTGGGTTCTCCTCCTCCACTGCCGAATACAGGAAGTTTCTCCATGGACACAGCTGGGTTCTGGAGATCCTGCACACTTCATTCTGAAAGAAATTCTCTCTCTGATTAGTTCATTATTAATAAACTGTATTTACTGATAGAATCCCAAACAGACAGTAGAACTGATCACCTCTATAATCCTGATAATTATTATCAATAATGTTACTGTCTCTCTCTGATCTATCAGTTCATTATTAATAAACTGTATTTACTGATAGAATCTCAGTATAAACAGACAGTAGAACTGATCACCTCTATAATTCTGATAATCATTATCAATAATGTGTCTGAGGTCTGACGTTATCTAGATGAAAGGAGTTCTAGGTGTGGAACCGAAGCTCCTCTCTCCATGTTCTGTAGAACCACAGCTCTGCACAGGTTACTCTGCTCTACCTGCTGAGGTTAATCAGGTGAGGCTGGAAGTGAGGAACACTTCACTGCACCATTCATACTGTAAACTCTGTCTACCTCAGTAGAACCATCCTCCTCTCTGGATCTTCATGAAGGAACACTGACTCTTTATGAACTCGTAGCTGAGATCAGATGAGTCTCTCTGAATCAGACTGAAACAGAACAAAGGAAGAAAATCATACTGGAGTCATATGTGAAGAAAATATACACCTATCAGGCATAACATTATGACCACCTCCTTGTTTTTATGCTCATTGTCCATTTTATCAGCTCCACTTACTATATAGGTGCACTTTGTAGTTCTACAGTTACAGACTGTAGTCTATCTGTGACTGTGGACTACAGTGAGCTGTCAATCATAATTTCAAGGCAAGGCAAAGCATGTTTATTTATATAGCACCTTTTAAACACAGCTGTTATTCAAAGTGCTTTACAAATGGAAAAGTTCAGAGTCAGAGTCGGTTAAAAAACATAACTAAAAACAACATTAAAAACAATAAATTTAAAATAGAAAATCATTAAAATTAAAAAACAAATTAGAAATTATAGTGATGATATATATGATGATACAGCACGAACAAACAAACGAGTCATCCACAGCTCAACTACAGCATGAGTGAACAAAGAATTCACTCACAGCTCAACTACAGCACGAACGACCAAATGAGTCACCCACAGCTCAACTACAGCATGAGCAAACAAAGAATTCATTCACAGCTCAACTACAGCACGAACGAACAAACGAGTCACCCACAGCTTAAATATAGCATGAGTGAACAAACAAGTCATCCACAGCTCAACTACAGCACAAACAAACAAGTCACCCACTGCTCAACTACAGCAGCAACGAACAAACGAGTCATCCACAGCTCAACTACAGCACAAATGAACAAACGAGTCACTGGCAGCTCAACTACAGCATGAGCGAACAAATGAGTTATCCACAGCTCAACTACAGCACGAACGAACAAACGAGTCACCCACAGCTCAACTACAGCACGAACAAATGAGTCATCCACAGCTCAGTTACAGCATGAGCGAACAAACAAGTCATCCACAGCTCAACTACAGCACGAACAAACAAACGAGTCACCCACAGCTCAACTACAGCACGAACGAACAAACGAGTCACCCACAGCTCAAATACAGCACAAACAAATGAGTCATCCACAGCTCAACTACAGCAACAACGAACAAACGAGTCATCTACAAATCAACTACATCATGAGCGAACAAACGAGTCACTCACAGCTCAACTACAGCATGAGCGAACAAACGAGTCATCCACAGCTCAACTACAGCACGAACCTACGAGTCACCCACAGCTCAACCACAGCACGAACAAACGAACAGTCACCCACAGCTCAACCACAGCACAAACAAATGAGTCATCCACAGCTCAACTACAGCACGAACAAACAAGTCATCCACAGCTCAACCACAGCACGAACAAACAAACGAGTCATCCACAGCTCAACTACAGCACGAACGAACAAATGAGTCATCCACAGCTCAACTACAGCAAGAACGAACAAACAAGTCATCCACAGCTCAACTACAGTACGAACAAATGAGTCACCCACAGCTCAACTACAGCACGAACAAACAAACGAGTCACCCACAGCTCAACTACAGCACGAACGAACAAACAAGTCATCCACAGCTCAACTACAGCATGAACGAACAAATGAGTCGCCCACAGCTCAACTACAGCACGAATGAACAAATGAGTCATCCACAGCTCAACTACAGCACGAACGAACAAACGAGTCATCCACAGCTCAACTACAGTACGAACAAATGAGTCACCCACAGCTCAACTACAGCACGAACAAACAAACGAGTCACCCACAGCTCAACTACAGCACGAACGAACAAACAAGTCATTCACAGCTCAACTACAGCACGAACGAACAAACGAGTCGCCCACAGCTCAACTACAGCACGAATGAACAAATGAGTCATCCACAGCTCAACTACAGCACGAACGAACAAACGAGTCATCCACAGCTCAACTACAGCACGAACGAACAAATGAGTCACCCACAGCTTAACTACAGCACCAACAAACAAACAAGTCACCCACAGCTCAACTACTGCAGAACAAGTCACCCAACTTGTTATTGCATTTAGCCGTTAGCCGTTAGTGTCTTTTCTCCAGAATAAAAGTCTTTAAGAAGCTCATTCTGAACTATTAATACCCAAAATGTGGTGATTTCCATAAATTAAAGGTTCTCCTCACAGAAAGAAGCTCTGAGGCTCTAAAAGCTCCAACATTTCTCTGGGTTTATTGGCTACCTGAGCATTAGCTTAGCTTAGCTTCGGTTATCTGACTTTATCAAACAGAGCCTTTCAGCAGAACCTAAAACAGAACCCAGCAGCTGTTCCTCTCAGATCAGTGTGGTTCTCCTTGTTCTCCTCAGTGAACAGTGAGTGTTGATGTTCAGTAATTACCTCTGAGTTTTTCTCTGTTTATGATCTTCTCTTCTCTGAACAGACGCGGCTCCACTTTCACTTTCACTCTAAACCGCAATGATCCCATTCAGCTCCTCCCCACAAACCAACGCTGAGCAGCTCTGAACTACAGAAAGAAAAAAGGTTCAAAACACGTTTGTAGGGTCGCGTTTGTTCATCCAATAAGCCATGAGCAGCACAGAAAGTATTGATCAGTATGATTGATTTACATTTAGTAGAATTAAAATGATGTATTTCACTGAATCTCAGTGACTCTCAGTGAGTGTTGAGTTATTTTACCATCGCTAGAAATAAATAAATACAAAGATAGATAGAATGGCAGATTTCTTTCTGATTAACAACGCTGTTCATAATAATCATTGTTTTATTGTTTAACACAAACGTATTATCACTGATCTGTTGTTGGGGTAATACAGACTGAAGGATGGTCTATATAATTATCCAGATATTTTTAGGGGAAACACTTTTACTTTAACCCAGCAGAAACATCCAGATCAGCTCTTCCTGCCATGTACAGTTAAGATAAGCTCCATAATGAACACCAAAACACACACCATGGTAGAGGAGCACTGTGACTGGCTCTGTTAGACTCCATCAATAATTAGAGTCAGCCTCATTCTGATCAGCTCAGAATGTGAAACACTGCTAGTTTATCAGAACATCTGTTGTTCCCTGAATATCCAGTAGGTGGCGCCAGAGTAGAGACAATTCTAATACTCCTTATAATAATACTCTGACTGTTCAGCTTTGTGTTTTGTCCCTGCTGTCATGACTCAGCTTGTGAATGTCCACTGGTGAGTAATGACGACTCACTGTTCTTCACACACAGTGCAAGTGTGCAGATTCTTCCAAAAGTGATTGTCCTCTGCACGATCCACTGTTTACAGTACTTCATTACCCATGATTCACCTTTACTGTACCTATAATAAACTAACTCCGTACAGAATATTTTTACATTTCAGCTGTAAAAAACTCTTACATTGCTGAGTCTCATAAAGTGTGATATCAATAAGATTTTCCCTTTCTGGTTTCTGGTTACAGATATGCACAAATACTATAAATCTGATTTTAGGTTCTAATCTACAGCTCATACCATACAAAATCACCCACAGAATACATTAGACTGGACAAAAGATGTTTAAAATGGGTTTACCAGCACTGAAATCTGTACTCATTGCACACTGAATAATGAAAAAATAAATAAATAAATAAGACATTCCCTGCCCCTCTTTTTTATATCTTTTACCAACACTAAAACCACAATCTCTTCATTTATTCCACTGCAGCTACCTGAACCTGTAATAGATCAGTGAGTGATTCTGAATCAGATTAGTGAGTGATTTTAAATCAGGTCAGTGTGTGATTCTGAATCAGATCAGTGAGTGATTCTGAATCAGATCAGTGAGTGATTCTAAATCAGGTCAGTGTGTGATTCTGAATCAGATCAGTGAGTGATTCTAAACCAAATCAGTGAGTGATTTAGAATCAGATCTTAATTAGATTTAATTTACTCAGTTAAATTATTTAACTGAGTTTTAATGTATTGTATTTTAATTTGCTCAGTTATACAATTTAATTCGTTCAGTTTCTCAGATTAAAAATATTACATTATGACACTAGAGCAAAGTTTCTATACATTCGATATGCATCACAGTATTGTTGGTTTTTATTAGCTTTGGTAAGTTGAAACAGACAGAATGTACCAGTAGCGCCACCTTAAAAAACTGAGTTGAATTATGTTTAATTAACATTCACAAACTGTACTGCATTAAACGGAGTTAAACTGGAATAATTATGCTCTCTCTGTAATGGTGAATGCAGGTGGTTAGGGTCTCAGACTCTGTTCACACTTGATGTACAGCCGATGCTAACAAAACTTGTAAACAAACAGGAGAGGAGATGGAAAGACAAACTACACAGCTGCTTTCTGTGCTGTGATGACTCAGCTGATTAAGGTGGTCCTTCACTGCTTTTGAAGATGTATTGAGATGCTTTAGCATTCATGCTACAAAGGTTATGTGGTCATTTGTGTCCCTGACCACCTCCGAGGGTGCTTTGGGTGATCTGACCACAGCATGTCTCTGAGACAAATTCTGCCCTGTTTATATTTGTACCTGCTGTCCACTTACAGTCAGACCACTCAGGTACGCATTTTAATGCCAGGTGTAAATGCGGCCTTAGAGTTCTTTAAGTACTAATGATATCCACAATATGCTCAGAAAAACATATTGTGATGTAAATTATTAGCATAATGAGCTAGTAACATAGCATTGCTAACCATCACTGACAATTATATTAGCAATCAAATAATCTACCCATTATTTTACAATCACCTGTAATTGTGTAATTGATTAATCAAGTCATATATTTTCAACAAATACGTTTTAAAGACCTCACTGAATAATAACAAACTATGAATAGTTTTTCATGGATTCCAAAATACTTCACTGGAAAAAAAAGAGAAGAAAGAAGTTTTAAATTATAATAGTGAAAATGCATCATCTGTGAAACATTCATTTTAAAAGTAGTTTCTGTTTATCCATTTGCGACAGTGTGAAACAGAAAAGCCACTTGAGTGCTCATAGGTCCCCCTTGTGGACAGTGAGTCTGCAATTTGATCTGTCTGCAGTCAGAATTCTTGCAAATTATGCAATTATGACTGTCAACTAATCATTGATCACTCATCACTAGAATTTTAATTGATGATTTTTTAATCCAGTTTAAATGGACAGCCTAGTGAAAACTTATAATGAGGCAGTTTGTGTCAGACCCATAGGAGCCGACCTGGGTTAAATATTGGGAATTTTGAATGTAAATCTTAATCTGAAGAGAGACGTTTAATTTGGGGAAAGGACATTGGTGTAATATTATTAAAGTTAAATTGTAAAAGTAAATTATTAATAATTTATTCTGTTTCTGTTATTATACACTTTTGTGATAAAGTAAAATATTCAAGTCAGTGTCAAAGTCAAAATATTGGAGAGAGCTGTCCACCCCGCCTCCTCCTTCCCAGACTCGTAGCTCATGTGGGTTGCCAGGTTGAGGACACTGAACCTACAGGAACAAGCACAATGTTAAGCTTTGACAATAGCAAGCCTTGATGAATCCTACAATGTACGCTAATCAGCTAATGTATGATTTTTTTTGTTGTTTCTAAATTATAAACCAGCTCATGTGGATTTTTTATAACTATCAGTGTTAGCTAGCTGCATTGCTGGCTGTGTACGGTAGCCAAAGCTAAGCTTGTTATCCTGAATCCTTAAATGGTTCAGCAGTTACAGTCTAGCACCTCAGCCTATTCGTCAGCTTCTGGTTTGAATTTTCCTGTTCTTGTTTAACTTTTGCAACATTTAAGGTGGAACGGAAAATTCAAACAAGAAGCTGGTGAATAGGCATCCAACTTCAGCCTTGTCTGCCATGAGAACCAGCTGCACACAGACTACAGAGTGTGAATGCGAGAACTCTAATGTTGAAATTATTAAAATGCCGCCCCGGTCGTGATAAATTAGTTAAGGTTAGACAAGGTGAAACTCAGTGCTCACCTCAAATGCATCATTGATATTTGCGTTTTACTGCGTTCCTGCCGATGGAGCTGTTCAGAAGGATACCAAGGCTTTTTTAGGTCAGGTGGAATCTAACGTCATCTCTGCTGATCCAGATTGTTTGCTTACTTCCATGGCTGCAGCCTGCTGTGTTTGCCACCATTTTGTTTTACAGAGATGATAAACTTAAGGTTTTGAATGATTCAGTTCATATGGTAAAACAAAGAGTAAATACCTGGGTAAAAGAGTCTCAGAATGTCAGACATCTAATGACGTGTCTGTGCCTAGCCCAGCAAATGATGGTCCAGAAAGCCAAAAGAGTGACAGCTCTGGAAAAAGCTTGTGCCAAAGTCTCAGTGTATTATGGACACCAAGCATCACCTCTGCAGTCACAAATGTCACGTTACTGGTTCATTCATTTTTAAAAAAAACACATCAGCCGTCACAGTTTGTCAAGAACATCTTATAACAGCTGAGAAAATAGATCATTCAGACACATTTGGACAAGCTATTGGAGAACTGGAACAAATCCAGTTGGAAAGAATCACCCCTTTAACTCAAAATAACTAAATCTCAAGGAAAATTACAGCACAGTCTATATATTCCTACATGGACAACTTTGTACAACAAACACTTTCAGGGACATTTTGATGTACATTCACGTTTTGTGTTTGTTTAGCTGCAATTTATGCAGTAAATATTCAGCTCTATATAGCAGAAACAACAAAATCCTTATATTACCAACAAACCTGATTACATCTACAGGACTTGAGGTTTCACTGAAATAATTTTCTAAAATTAACAAGTGTAACAAATGTGGAACAAAAGCTTCAGTGTCTTTATAAAAATGAGACTATTCATTGCCCTAAAACACTACTGGTAGTATCAAAGCAGTGCAATTTTAATCTAGATCAAAAAATAACTTTGTCTTTAGTGCTTAATAATAGTATTTACAAAATTGGAGCCATTATCCCTCTCAATGAAAAACTGCTCTTAGCTAAATTTGTTAAAGCAGGTAACAATGGCTGGACTGTCAATGGTGTAAATCACATAAGTTAAACCTCTACTATTGTTCATTAAATGGTGTCTCAATCTAACTGTGTTCTAGTTGCTTTACAGTTACAAAATTGTGTAAATTTACAGAATTTAAACTGTAGGATACAAAACATGAATGTACAGAGCCATGTGAGATAACTACTCCTTACAAACAAACAGAGGTATTTTTCCAAAATCATGATGATCTTCCAAAAATGTATTTGAAGATGATTTAGAGTTGATAAACTTGGAATATGGCTAAATGACAGAATTGCAGATGCCTACTTGCTCTTTTAGAAGAGAAGGTAAAGGAAAAAAGGTTTTGATGTGTCCATCCACATCTGCAGTTTGGCATTACATGGAAGAATTATAGACTTTACAATGTGAATTTTATCACAATGCCCTCATTTTCTACAAATGTGTGGCAGCAACTGTGGTCTTTATGTGTGCTTCTTTATAAAGCCAGTGTCATTCAATGTTCCCCTAAATCCATTTTGCCAGAACCGAATGAGAGATTATCTGTTGTATGAATTTCTTCATCAAATATATATTACAGTGAATTCTTAAATCAACACAAAGTCACAGAAACACAGAAAAGAAACACATTCTGCTTAAAAGGGATTTACACCACAGCTTTATTATTTAAAACTCCTTGAATAACTGTGTAGCTGTAGCTTATAGTGACATCTACACATTTTCACCTCACATTTAATCTAAATCAATTGAATCTTGAAATATTTTAGATGAAATCAAATAGAAGAGTATGATGTCAACTCCAGTCCTGGAGGGTTTTAGTCCAGCACTGTTTGGTAGATTTCTTGCTATAACAGAATTCAGCTCAACAATAGATGACTTTCCAAGCTGTGATGGACTCCACCCACCAAGAGTGGAGCTAAGCGTGTTGGTTTAAAGAGGTTTCATAAAATTAAATAACTGCATGCCCTGATATTTCTATGCTGTCTCAGTAGACATTTAACATGTATGGAAATCAGCCATGAGAAAACATGCAGGATAAAAAGTTCTACGAATCGCACTGCAGTTAAGGTGATTTAGTATTTATTGTATGGATGTGAAATTTCACATCTTTTCATCTGATTTTAAACTGCTATTTTTTACAATGTGAACAATTAGTATTTTGTGCCTTTTTTCCCAAACGATAAATTATATGTACTGAGGAAAACGATCTTTGTTTTAATACATTTAAGAAAATATGGCAATTAGTTGTTTTTAACTATAAAGTTTCTCATAATCCTATATTCTGATTATTTGCTTGATAATTTGATTGTTTATTGTTTGGTTAATAATTTATTTTTATATTTTCATGAAATTTTATTTCTTTGCTATGTTTTTAGCAGTAAATTGTAAGACATTAAGCAGTATGTATCAGATGTTGATGTAATATTTGGCAAGTACATAAACTGATATAACAACATAAGTAAATAGGGTATGTAGGAGTGCTGAGTGTACGGAGTGTACCATCACTACTTCACCCACATAGCATATCTAGGACTTTTTCAACAACACATTTTTTTCACTAACATCCAAGGAAGAAACTATTTACGAAGGGACAAATTAATAATAACTAAAATAATAAAAAATAATAACAAAAAAAAACAATAGACAAACTATGTCCATCCTTTATTAATATATAGGCATGTCACACTCATAGTACTCCTACATGGGCAGTGAAGCTTGCTTGGTATAAAACTCCATGTTTTCAGACAGAGGAGGGTCTGGTGATTTCATTTCACTCTGGGTTTTGTCTTGACACAATCTACTGTTTAGACACTAGACAATTAAAACTACAGTATGTCCATCCTTCATTAATGCCAATGCAATAGGCTATAAAGCATTTCAGACTCATAGTATGAGAGACTCCTACATGTGCAGTGACGCTTGTTTAATGTAAAACCATAGTGTTTTATAACATTTTTAGAGTAAATTATTAATACTCATATTTAATAATATTAACTAAAACGTATTGAGAGCTAGAAACTTTTATTTTGAAAAACACCCTCCCGGTTGCGGTCGGACTCCGCTCGCTACTGTTGTTGTCTTCACACAGCGTGTTGTGTTTGGGGGAGACTCTGAAACGGAGACTCAGTCTGAGATTAAAGAGCTGTAAGTGCTGCTTTAAGCTGGTTTCAGTCTTTATATGTCGGTGTAACTGACTGATGAGGGTCTTTAAATGTCTGTTAGAGCCTCATTGATGGAAACGCTGCTCATCCTGCAGTGATTTAGAGGAGGAGCTGCTGCAGTAAAGTCGGTTAGTGATTCTGATTCTGTCGGCTGGAACTCCGGAACGCAGTAACGCACCTCTGCGCATGAAACTGTGTTTGATCTAGCAGAACTCGATTTGTGATGAACTTCACAAACAGAGCTGGGTGTGTTTGACAGCTCCATACAGCTCTGTCTCCTCAGGAATCAGACCATCAAGACATTTTAACTTTGGGAAGCCTGGCAGCTTTGGCTTATTCTGTCTTACAGTGGCTTCTGTAAATTAATAACTGCCATTCATTTTTATAAAACAAAATCAAAAATCCTCATATATGAAAACGTGTAACTAGAACATGTGCAAAGCATTTACAGTAACATCAAGGAAAAACCTGTGGACTGGACGTCTTTTTCCATGAACGAAATAATGTCTGTAGATTCTGAGATCAAAATAATTGAAACTTAAATGTCAAAGAAGGAATAAAAAACCACTGAGAAAGTTTTCACAAACTGGGAAACAAACTGGGACACATCTTGAAGATGTGGTGGATATTGGCCCAGGTTTAAAAACAAAACAAAACAAAACAAAAAGCTAGAAATTAGTTAGCTAGCGGCTAACAAACATCTGCTAGACATGCAAGCTAGTTAATACTGATATACAATTTCTCAGCAACTAATCTCCAAAGATGACCATACTGGCTGATCAGGGAGCTGTTTTCCTCAAATTCAGCTTTTGTTTAGATAATTCTAACATCTAACAAGTTGCTAACATTCGCAATCACTGGTAAATAATTGCTGATTGGTAAAGGATAGAACTTCATGTACTGCATTTGTATGTTTCATCTATATATTAAACAAAACAATTATCTTTTTAAAACAGTCATCAAAACATGAATATTTTCCACCTTTGGTTCATTTACACTTGTAGCCCACAATAACAGCCATTTTCTATTTAAGGCCTAACACAGCAATGTAAAGTACACAAAGTCTGTGCTCATCACTGGCCCTTACTGAGTACAATGCCATGTGTTTTCTATTAGGCCTCGAGTAAAATCATGGAGCCGCTCACTTAAAGAACTGTCCATGGCTTTTTTTAAATGAGTAACTGACATGAAATTGAACAACACTGACTGAGGCTACACTCTGCATCAGTACCTGTTAATGCATCTCCATGATCCTTCATGTTTAACACAGAAAACAAAGAGAAATAGAGAACAAACACAATGTGCATCTCCCTTTATACAGTCGTGTGAAAGTTTAGGTCAAATTACACATTTTGCCCAAATGAAAAATTATTAATCAGCTAGGAATAAATTAATACATATTTCTACAAATGTAAATGCAAGATTACCATTTAACTTCTGAATTTACTACAAAACCCATTTTCAGAAAATTAGCATATTTCATAAAATACACTAAGAACAAGAATGTGATTATTAAATCTCTCTTGAGCCTTTCTTTAACTCACACAAGTACAAAAAAAATTGTTTAATGTTTTCACTGACCACTTCAATTGTCTTTTGAAAATTTAAATCACTTTAGAATTTTATATCTGCGACACACTCAGAAGAAGTTGGGAAAGAGGCATGTTTACCACTGTATTATATCATCTTTTCTATTTTATTACTTTTTAATCTTTAACGAACTGAGGGTACTAATGGCAGCACTGCAAGTAGGCAATGTTTGCCTATTTTTGCTTCATACAAGACTTTAACTGCTCAACAATCTGTGGTGGTTGTTGCCTGATTCTCCTCTTCATGATGTGCCTAATGTTTTCAATAGGAGACAGATGTCACTCTGTGTTTATGAAGCCATACAAAGCCACGCTGTTTTAGCATGTGCAGAATGAGGCCTGGCATTGTCTTGCTGAAATAATCATTCCCTTCCCAGAAAGACATTTAGTCAGGTCCATTCCGAAGGCAGCTGCCCATACATCATAACTCTCACTGCGCTGTTCACGTTTTATCTGTTTACTCACAGTCGCTCGTTAGCTTACACTCACCTCTGACTAAAGGTGGATCATCTCAGTGTAAAAGGACGGCTCTGAATCTGCAGCAGCTGTTTTCCTGTACTGACGCTGCTGTGAAAATTTGTATATTTAGAACTGGCTGATTTTAAGGAGTCATATCTATTGTTATATACTCAACTCAGCAGCCCAGATAAATACAGATAATCCAGTTGCATTTCTTGATATAGTGGCATACTGTGTTAAGTTTTCCAAAGTACTCCTAAGCCCATTTGGCTGTATTTAACACAGTATGACAGTTTCTAATGCATTGCCATCTGAGGTTATGAAGGTCATGCACATTTGCAGTGGTTTCTGGCTTTGACCTACACTGACTGAGATTTCTCTGGATTCCATGGATTTTTTGCAATTTAATGTCTAGATGGCGAAAGACCTAAATTCTTTGCAGTCTTGCATTAAGACATGTTCTTTTTGAACAGTTTGATGGTTCTCCCACAAAGTATAACACAAAGTGGTGAGCCACAACTGATCTTCACTTGCAACCACTGAGCCTTTGGTGGATGCTTACACCCAATAATGATACCCTCACCCATTATCAGTTCACCTGCTTATTGTGGAATGTGTCAAAAATGGTGTAACTTAAATATTCTTTTCACTCTCATTTTGCCTGTGTCTCAGCTTTTTTTGAGTGTGTTGCAGGCATTAGATTTAAAATTTGTTTTCAATTACAAAATGCAATCTAGTTATTCAGGCTAAACATTACAAATCATCTCTTTGTATCTTTGTCAGTTAAGGGTTCAAGAGAATTAACAAATTACAGATTCTTATTTTTATTGCCTTTTTTTTCAAAATTGCTAACTTTATTCTTATTTTATTGCATTTTTTTAAAATGTGCTAACTTTTCCAGAAATGGGGTTTGTATATTAGGTGGAAAATAAAATAAAACTGTGGCATGTGCAAAAGTGACCTTCAGTCAATGGTGGTAGTAGCCAAAGAGTTGAATTTTTGTTTCATTAAGCCACAGCACTTGATTTCAGAATGGTTTATCTAAGAGTTGCATGCAAATTTCATATGTTTAAATTTGTAATGAGATCAGAATTAATGTTACCATCTGATAATCTTTCCATGTTGGTGATGTTTGTGCAACAACATAGCACAGTAGGCCAGTAAATCACTGTTCCCATGCAGCCAGATGTTCATGCGGGTCTATAGCAGTGTGGTAGGGGTTTTGCTTTGCCTAAGTGATCAGTCAACAAGCATTTTGTAGAGGTGTTCCTTAGTCTTCCATATCTTGCAGTTCAATAATTGTCCCTACCTTTCATTTCTTAGTGACATTGTTGACGGGTGTTCAGATATATTTTATATTCTTCTCTTGTTTTGTAACAGTAACAATGTTTGTAACAATTACTTATAGTTTCAGATGAGCCCATGTGAAGTGTAAACACCCTAAGAGATTTGAAGGCCCACAGTTCATTATGCTTTGAAATTGTCTATGCATGACTTGGATCATGGCCTAATGCGATATTTAAGCTCTGAGAACTTACCAAAAAATACACATGTAGCAAAATTCTTAGCTCTTTAATGACCTTATAAAGCAGAGAGCCCAGTTACATTCAGTATACATTAGATGAAACAAATCAAATTTGGGATCACTTTGTTTACTACAGTATGAAATGGTTGTGGATTTTGGATAATCCCAGAGTTTGAGGGTATTAGATTTTTGGCTTTCCCACATCGGATGGAAGTTGAGTTTATATTTACTTTTTTTTCTTTCAGAAATGATTGATGTTGGTTTCAAGTGTTTTCCTGCTCTTTCCTACTCAGTTTAATTGTGCTTCAGTCAACACATCAGGACGTTCCACAAAGAGGAAAGTTAAGCTGCTGAAACAGGTGATTATATAAGAATATGGCATCCAGAAGACGTTCTGGGACTCAGCAAACGTCATCCAGTACCCTCCACATGAACGCATCTCACAGACAAATGCAGAAACACAGCAAGGAGAGAAATCACTACTGCTTGGAATGTGGAAAGAGTTTTGCTGCACAGAGTGCGCTCAAAATACACCAGCGCATCCACACAGGAGAGAAACTGTATCACTGCTCAGAGTGTGAGAAGAGTTTTACTACACACAGTGCTCTCCAACGACACCGGCTCATTCACACAGGAGAGAAGCCGTATCACTGCTCAGAGTGTGAAAAGAGTTTTACTGTACAGTGGCATCTCCAAGACCACCAGCGCACTCACACAGGAGAGAAGCCATTTCACTGCTCAGAGTGTGGACAAAGTTTTGCTCAAAAGAGTGGTCTCCAAATCCACCAGCGCATTCACACAGGAGAGAAACCGTATCACTGCTCAGAGTGTGGGAAGAGTTTTACTGCACAGAGTGCTCTCCAACGACACCGGCGCTTTCACACAGGAGAGAAGCCGTATCACTGCTCAGTGTGTGGACAGAGTTTTACTCAAAAGAGTAATCTCCATACCCACCAGCGCATTCACACAGGAGAGAAACCATATCACTGCTCAGAGTGTGGGAAGAGGTTTACTGAACAGGGTACTCTCCAAAAGCACCAGCGCATTCACACAGGAGTAAAACCATATTATTGCTTAGAGTGTGGGAAGAGGTTTACTGCATCATATGCTCTCAAAAAACATCAGCACATTCATACAGGAGAGAAACCGTATCACTGCTCAGAGTGTGGGAAGAGCTTTACTCAAAAGAGTCAACTCCAACAGCACCAGCATGTTCACACAGGAGTGAAGCCATATCAGTGCTCAGTGTGTGGGAAGACTTTTACTATACAGAGTACTCTCAACAGACACCAGCGCATTCACACAGGAGAGAAGCCTTATCACTGCTCAGATTGTGGGAAGAGTTTTAATGAGAATAGGAATCTCCAAGAACACCAGCGCATCCACACAGGAGAGAAACCGTATCACTGCTCAGAGTGTGGACAGAGTTTCAGGCATTTAAAGACTGTACAGAAACACAAGTGCCCTAAGAGCTGTGGTGGAAATTAGCAGTAATGAGTGTAACCTTAACACATTCTGGGTGTAAAAGTCTACAGGAAACTGTGATTCTAGACCAGATTTCAGTCTGTTTTTTGGGGAAAACCACCTCTTGTGTTTTACACTGTTCCTAAAACATAAGTATAAAATGGAATGTAATTTCCTGTACTGACCCACCAAGTCAAACCCAAAGCTCATACATCCAATGAGAAGGTGTGATACTGCATGTTCTCCCCAAAATGTCCACACTGCTCATGCTGTTGATACCGATCAAGTGGCTCCACATTCAATAATAAGAGGCTCTTTGCTTTCGAATTTAGCAGATCTAAACTAGTAGTGTTTCTGATGCAATGGTGGATGTTTTGACAAACACTTGCCAGAGTGCTTGGCTCTTTATCATTCTCGCTCTTTTCTCTTAATAAGAGAAGACATAGGGGGTTGGAAAGTACCATGATTTCTACGGCCCCGTTTCCAAAAATGTTGGAACGCTGTGCAAAATGTAAATAAAAACAAAATTCAATGATGTGCAAATCATTCACACCATATACTTAATTGAAAATAGTACAAAGACAACCTATCAAATGTTGAAAGTGCAAAATTTCATTGTTTTTTGAAAATATATATGCCCATTTTGAATTTGATGCCAACAACACATTCTAGAAAAGCTGTGCTGAGGGCAGCACAAGGCTGGTATGGTTGTGTAATGCTACAAAAACCTGTAGTGTTTAATTGGCAACAAGTCAGGAACATGAATGGGTATAAAAAGAGCATCCCAGAGAGACTGAGTCTTTCAGAAGTAAAGATAAATAGATAGACAGATAGATTCGGCTTTGTCATTGCTCAGTACAAGGGAACAAATAGACAGATAGATATCTATGAAATATATAACTACATAACGTATTTATGAAATTTTAGGTTATGTCCAGGGTTATGTCCTAGTTCTGTAGATGCTGGTCCTGCACTATTAAGCAATTTATAGACCAGTAATAGCATATTTAAGTCTATTCTGTAACAGACTGGAAGCCAATGTAAGGATTTAAGAATGGGGGTGATGTGTTCCCTTCTTTACTCCTAGTGAGACTCTGGCAGTCTTTTTTGGGGGTCCAGTTAGGAGACCATTACAGAAATCAATCCTGCTAGATCTCTCATCTTGATTGATATTCTTAAGATGTGTGGATTTTATTTTAGTAATCAATTATTTTAATAATCACTTTGGTCAGCTGTGCATGCATGTAACCCATTTAAACGGATTCTAGTGTAGTGTGTTGTCTTACTTATATAACCATTACTTATGACTTATGAATGCTTACAAGAGGTTAATACGGATGTAGTTTATATTGCTTCTAGCCGTAGAGGTAGCTTAGGATACTCTAAACATTAGGTGGACTCTCACTGTGCACCAGCTAGATAGGGGGTCAACTCCTTGCAGCTTCCCAGGTTCTGTTATCAGTCCTGAGGCCTGGCTGAACTGACAAGGGCCTACTGTGAATTATTGTGTTGTGGCCTTGAGGCTGCAGAGAGGAGAGTCAGTGGAACAGGCCAGGTGGGTAAGGTTTTTGACCATATTAGAGCTCCTTTGCTGTTTATTCATTATGCATGTATGTTAACACTGTCATATTTATGCGTCTTGCAATTATTTGTAACCAATAGATTGTATCTTCTTTGTTCTCTGTTTTTCGTATGAAACAACACCCCATTTGGGGAATATATAACCTTTGTAACTCTGGTCTGTCTTCGGAGATCCCTGGGTTTTTCCAGGAGTTTCTCCCCGGCCGTGAGATTTAATAAAAATATTACTTTGGAGCATTTATTTGTGACTCTGAGACTTTATTGTTTTCTGGTTTACTTAGGTATTTCCACAACATGTGATAAGCTAATTTAGTGACTGCTTTGACACAACTGATCAGAGTCCATTAGTACAACAAGGCTATGTCCTAGTTTTAGATTTTAGGGCTCTTGAATCCAGATATGCAGCTAGTCTTTGTCACTCATTGCTATTCTCAAATAAAATAATCTTTTAGTTTTAAAGTTTTATCTTTATTCAACTGCAGAAAGTTTTGTTTCATCTAGCTAGTGATGAGCTCAAGGCTCTTACAGAATGAATTAAGGGACCAAAGTTGTTTGGAGAGAGGGCCAAGTAGATCTGTGTATCATCTGCATAGCTATGGTAAGATATCCCATAGTCTTGTAGTATTTGGCCAAGAGGCAGTGTGTATAAATTGAATAAGAGTGGGCTAAGAATTGAACCCTGGGGGACATCACGGGTTACTGGCTCTGAGAAACATTATTTTCTATTTCCACAAAGTCATCCTTCCTTGTAAGTATGAACTAACCATTTTACGACAGTCCCTGAGAGCCCAAGCCAGTTCTCAAGTCTATCTGTGAGAATTTTGTTGTCAGTGGTATCAAAGGCAGCTCTGAAATCAAGCAGTAATAGAACAGATGTTTTTTTCCAGAGTCTGTACTTAAGCAAATGTCATTAATAACATTAATTGTGGCTGTTTCAGATAGGGGTGGGAATCTTTAGGCACCTCACAATTCGATTCGATTACAATTTCGCTCTGATGGGATTATAAAACGATTATCTTGATGCATCTTTTTTTCTATACAAGATTTCTATTTTCCTAATGTCTGAGGACTTGATAGTTTTAAAGCAAAGTATTTGTAATGATCAATAATGTAAATGCATTATTACAAATACTTTGCTTTAAATATCTAAAATATCTTTTATTAATAAATCAAATGGAAGTGATGTGGCAAGTGAACTAGAAGGCTCTCATTCACTGAGACGCTGCTGCCACTCATTTGCGATAAAATGTGCTGTTAGGGTGAAATAAGATCCAGTGGTAATGGATGTCCACGCAGCACATGTTACAGCCATCCTGCCCATTTAATTCAGTGACTTTATAACTTCGGTTTTGGTCTCATTGTAGGGGGGGGTTGTCACTGTGTTAGTAAAATATTTTCGAGACTGGACGCTGAATCTCGGCTCTAAAGTGTGCAACATATGTCTCTCTCTAAAAAGTTGCAAAGATGAAGTCAATCTCCCTTTCAAATTTTCCCAGTCCACCTTAAATGGTGCAGCAGTTACATTCAGCGGCTCAGGCAGAATTTAAGGTGGAACAGGAAAATTCAAGTGAGAAGCTGGAAAATAAAAAGCAACTTCAGCCTCGTAGAAACGGCCGAGCACTGAGAGACATTTTAAGAAACTGCTCTACTTTTGAGCATAAGTTTTCTGGCGGAAACGGGAGGAAAGCGGCTATAGCTGAGCTAAAACTTAAAGCAGAGCAAAGTAGATCTGCGTTCTCGCTTATATTTTAGCCTATATTAGCACATTATCACATACTCAGACATATTGGACATTAAATGTTGTGGCTCCCAAGGTGGTTTGATTTTTGTTGAAAGGACAAAATGGTTCTTCTGAACATTTGGGTTGTGACTCCTGACCTAACCTGGCTTTAATGCAGAGGGAGCCGGTCGGATTTTCCGCTCATCCATGTGAGTTTTTGTTATGTGCCATCACAGACTGTCCAGGTGCTGTCCTTACCCACTTCCAAGTTCCGCTTTTTACGTTATGGCAACATTATGGTATAAATTAAATATTTAAAAAATCTATTTTTGACGTTAGCAAAATTGTCTGACAGGAGTGAGGTGTTTACCCTCTGAAGTATGTTTGCTGATATTGAGTGAAACACATTCTTTAAAAAGTTGGTTGGTAACATGTCAAGACTACAAGTGGAGGATATGAGATGATTCACAATATCAATTAAAATTTCATTATTGATAGTACTAAACTGAGACATTTTAACCATGACATTTTTACATGATGATGGAGAGTACACAGGCTCTTTGGCAGATGTAGTAATGGCTTGCCTGATATTCTGGATTTTAGTGTTACAAAAGGTAGCAAACTCATTGCATTTTCCAGGTGATACTAATTCAGGGTCCATATATGTAGGTGACTTAGTTTGTCAACCATGGTGAAAAGTATTCTGCTGTTGTTGATATTATTGTTGATAATGCTGGAGAAAAAGGACTCTCTAGCTTTGCACATTATTGTGTTGTAATTGCGCAGCCTATCTTTAAAGATTTCCTTGATTTTATGCCATCTGCATTCAGCCTTCCTACATTCTCTCTTTTGGAGTTGAACTGCAGTATCATTCCTCCAAGGTGCTCTCTGTTGTCGTGACATAGATTTAGCTTTAACTGGTGCGATCTCATCCATAACACTGACAATTTTTAAGTTGAAGCTATCCAGCAAAGCATCAACAAAGTCAGATGGCTCGCATGGTGTGGAGCACATTTTGCTCATAAAAAGTGTAGCTTTGCTGTCATTTATGAACCTTTTCTTAAAGCAAATGTGTCTGGTCTTGATGTTTAGTGAGGTCCACATTTCAAAGAAAACACAGTAATGATCTGACAAAGCGACATTCTTAACAGTGGCTGATATGCTGAGACCCTTTGAAATAACCACATCCAGAGTGTAACCATGATAGTGTGTGCTCCCGGTCACATGCTGAGAAAGTCCATAAGATATAGCACAATAGAGCAAAATTCCTTGGCGTAACTGTCTTTGGAGTTAATATGTATGTTAAATTCACCAACAAAACATAAAAAAATGATCAAAATCAGTGGACATAAAAGCTAACATACCTGTAAATTCATGTACACAAATTGGCATTGTATTTTGGGGGCTTGTTGAAAATACTAGTAATATTTTTTGTGCCCCTTTCAGTCAAGTCAAGTCAAGTTAAATTTATTTATATAGCACCTTTTACAACAGATGTTGTCACAAAGCAGCTTTACAAAGAATCCGGGTCCGCGCCCCCAGTGAGCAAGCCTTGGCGACAGTGGCAAGGAAAAACTCCCTCTACAGGAGGAAGAAACCTTGAGAGGAACCAGACTCAAAAGGGTAACCCATCCTCCACTGGTCGACACCGGATAACAGCACAGACACAAAACAGTATAAGTGGATATAGTTTTACACTTCTGTACAGTGCGTCAGCCGCATCTGATCTCCCTGGAATGGGATTGAGTGGTGTTCACATCTGACCCTCTTGGGACAGGCAGTCGCTCAGCTCAGGGAAAGAGAGGGGGGAGGGGGGGATAAGGGGGATAGAACCACACAGAAATACTCAAAGGATGTGAAATCACCCAATGATAACTGCTTGCATTGGAAAGAATCCTTAAAAAGAGCAGCTACACCTCCACCTTTCTTGACAGCATGTGAGACATTTAAATGAAAATTTGAAAAACCACGTTTCTGTTAAAAGCATAAAATCAAGCCAATGAGCTTTAATATAATCATTAATTAAATAAGACTTGGTTGTGAGAGATCTTATATTAAGAAGAGCTAACTTAATACTCTGTGCACTTTCCACCAGAATCTGTGACTCACATTTTACATAATGCAGATTGGATGAATTCACATTATCAGACATGTACTCCCTGTTTTTTCTGTTTCTGTTAAGTACTGGAATGGACAGATTTCTAGAACACAGGGTCAGAGCTTGTTTTGAAAAAACGTACCGCTGACATCATTACTGTAGCAGCACGGACCAGAAAAATATCAGTTTGCCGGATCAATTGAAAATGGTGTGACCTTTTCGCCTTTCAGCAGAGAAGGGTGAGTGGAGCTCCTGTTGATGATGAGGTATAGATCAAAGCTGCCTTTCTGGTAGTTGAGGAGCTTGTCTCTTTCTTTTAGGTGGTGCAGGTGTTGAGGAAGCTATGTTTAATAGTTCATCTTTGACTGGTGACTGTGATGGGGCAGGAGGGTTGTTGGGTCCTTGAGGCAGTAGTTTAGGGTGGAGGAGAAGCTGGGCTAATTTTTCACTGAACCTGAGGGCTGACAGAGAGGCAGAGGACCACTGATAAATGACTGCACGTTGAGCTTCCTGAGTGTGTTGAAGAAATCATTACAGTCACTTTTTAACACTTCATATGCCTGCTTCCTTGTATCATTCTTGCCTACATGAACAATGACTCACTTCACTGTTGTGTATTTGGCCAGTACTGTAGGTACTGTAAGCTTTTCATTCAGCTCAGACACTGTGATGTTTGATTCAAACTTTGAATTTGTGTTTTCTTTAACATCATTAACAGATTCATCTCCATAAACAAGGGAGTGTGCTTTGGCCACAGACTGGGTGCTCTGACCAGCTGACACTTCTGATCCTTAATGAATTCTGATCACTGCCCTCAGGACACTCACTGCAGCCTTGCAGCGGGTCAAATATGTTCTGCAAGAGTGACTGGGACCGATATTCTCCTCTTGCTTTGTGGTTTCTCAGCAGCAACTATAGCATTAGCATTAACATGATGAGCTGTGCTATCAAGAGTGGGGGATGAGACTACAGAGATATATGTAGCAATGCGTTTGGGTTTAGGTCACATAAGCAGCTCCATCCATGTGTTCCGCTGACCTAGCTCTGTGTGTCTCCACTGCCTGCTGCTCTGTTAAGCCCTCCGCTTGTTGTCTGCTGCGGAAACTCCCACATGCTGCTCTTTGTGTAACGGAGGAATGACAGTCCTTAAACTCTCACCTCCAAAACTGTCATTTTTGCAGAAGACCATAACAATTGAGGCAGCATGTGTTCTGAAACCTGAAGAGGCATTTTGTATGTTTATATTTTGATAGCCACAGGAAAATTTGCTAATCCCTGAGTCTATAGCAGTACTGTAGGAAAAAACAAAAAAAAAAATCCACTTTTGGCTGTGTAGTGCTCTTGATGTTTCTATATAGATAACAAGCTCTAACACTTTAGCTTGAAAAAAAGAACATAAACCTCTGAAAATAA